GGGCATGTTGATGTGTACCTGAAATCCCAACTACTTGGGAAGCTGAAGCAGGATTATTTGAGCTCCGAAATTCAAGGGCAATATAGCAAAACCCCATCACACACACTCACACACACACACACACCTATTAAGAGCAGCTTTTACAAACACAAATCTAGAAAATTAGCACAAAGAATTGTAACTTACTTACTTATAATTTCATATCTTAATGCCTACAGAAGAGTAGCCAAAAAGAAACTTTGAAGTTGGGCATGTTGGTGCACACCTGTAATCCCAGCACTCGGGAGGCTGAGGCAGGAGGATCGCTGTGAGTTCGAGACCAGCCTGGGCTACATGGTGAATTCCAGGTCAGTCTCAACTACACAGTGAGACTCTGTCTCAAAAAAAGGAACTTTGCAAGTTATTCATTTTAAAGTGTAATTTGCTTTTAGATATCTGTTTCTCAAGTAAGTGAAGAAAGTTACTGAGTCATATTAATTGACCCAGCTTACGACTACAATGACATCAAGGCAAGTCATGTAGACCACACAAATTCCTTGAGACCTAAAAAAGACACCTCTGAAGAATTCCTAGTGTCACTATCCGCAAACTCAGCTGATCTTTCTTATTTCTAGCCTCAACATCCAATAGAATAGCATCTGTGGTACAGGCTCAAAACGTAGCCCCCACAACTCCCTCCTCCCTGTTGCTTGCCACTCTTGCCATGAACAAGTAGAGATTATTTCCCATACATACACCTATCCCTCTGACTCAGATGGCCTTTACCAGATTTGGCCAATATACATTCTTGAACTTTTAAATCTAGGACTTAAGTGGTTTGACAATTTCTATTTCCTGTTTCCTGGAATAACACTCCTTAGAACCCAGCCACCATGATTTAAGGAAACTCAAGCAGCAAGAGAGAGGCTGGTACATAGCAGTGAAGGCCTATTATGGATGGTCTTGATGTCCTCCAAAGCCTCATGCGGTCATAGGTGGGCCTTTCTCAGAGGTGGCTGGATCTAGAGTATGACTGATTCATGGTGCAATGCTAGGATACAGGGTGCTAGGATTAAGGGTGGGTGATTACTAAACCAGTCCACTGATTGGTTTGGCACCACCCTAATCCCGGTAGCCTGGACACAATATAAGGACAAAAAGAGGTTTGTTTTGTCCCTTGTTGCTTTGCTACCTTCTGCCCACAATGAAATGTTTCTCTTCTATAATGCCCCTCTGCCATCAGGCCTTGGAGCCAGCTGATTATGCACTGAAAACTGTACAGTGAGCTAACTAAACCTTTCTCCCTTTAACTCTGAGCATCAGGTATTTTGTCTCAGCAATGAGAAAACTAAGACAAGGTCCTAGCTGAACTCTCAGCTGGGAGTCAGCCATGTGAAGACAGGCACTCAGTGAGTTAATTCCAGCCACACGGGCACCCTAGCCACCACACCAAGTGAAGCAGAAAAACCACCTAATTTGAGGTAAATAATATACTTATTTTTTAAGCTATTAAGTTTTGAGGTTGTAGCTTGTTACACAGCCATATTCATGTTTTATACAGTTTCGGTTACCAATTCAATACATTACTATTATTCAATGTAATACATTACCTTACAATAAAAGCCTGTATGAGGGGCAGAGTGTAGTTCAGTAGTTATCTAGTATGGGAGGCCCTGGGTTTGATCCTCAGCATCACAAAAAGAGAACAATTCTGTCCTAAAATGATTTTATCTAAGTTTTTTTTTTTTTTTTTGAGACAGAGTCTCACTATGTAGTTGAGACTGACCTGGAACTCACTATGCAGTCCAGGCTGGTCTTGAACTCACAGCAATCCTCCTGCCTCAGCCTCCCGAGTGCTAGGATTACAGGCATGCACCACCACGCCTGGCGATTTTATCTAAATTTCAAGTGTTCCCCCATTTGATTCTGTGACTGGTTGGACAAATATATACATATCCTATTTTTAAAAGTAAATGTCAATTTTCCCTCAGCTTTTTAAAAATATATATGGGTGATGTAAAATAGGGCCTGTATTCCAGTCCTTGTTTATTTTTACTGAGATTTACACTATGTTGACTGAGGAAGTATTCTTAAGAAAGGTGCTTGAGGACCTGTTAAAGCTGAATGAGGCATCAGCACATAGGTCATTTCATATAAACTACTACTTTGATGTTACTTACTTTTAAAAGTTAAACAATTTGCATACAGCACTTTTCATAAGTATCCAAGGATAAGCTTTATGTCTGGACCATGTGTGAAGTATGGTCAACTCCCAATTAGCAATCTTGTTAAAAAGATTTTATTGTATCTTTTTTTTTTTTTTCTTTTTTTTTGGTTTTTTTGAGACTATGTAGTTGAGACTGACCTGGAACTCACTACGTACCTCAGGCTGGTCTCTAACTCACAGTGATCCTCCTGCCTCAGCCTCCAGAGTGCTGGGATTACAGGTGTGTACCACCATGACCGGCAATAAGATTTTATTGTAAAAGCCGTCATTAAAGTACTACATTAATGTAATGAGTGCATTGATAAGAGCATCCATTTCAGGTTGGCATTCCAAACAAATTTTGCCTTTTTTTTTTTGTACCAGGGACTAAGGACCTTGCATTTGTGAGGCAGGTGTGATGCCACTGAGCTAAATCCCAGCACCAACAAATTTTACTAAGTATGGATCAAAACATCTATATCAAAATTGTTACTAGTGAGTCACAATTAGAAGGAAAAAGTAAAACCAGAATAAAACCAAACACTAAACAAAAAGTTCAACTGACTAAAAAGCATGGAACCAATCGCTTTTCGGCCTTTCAGCTCAGATCAAGTGTATGAAGCACTTCCATGTATACTGTGCACTAGCTACTCAATACAAGCTCAAAAGGTATCTTGTCTTGGAAGTGACTGTAAACAGACGCTCTAGCAAGGCCGATGGGACCAAAGGGAAGCTGTGACTCACTGAGACTCACAGGGAAGCTGTTACAGAGCTAAGCACACACCATATCTCTAACTCCCAGTCCTCTGCTGGTCTTACTAAGGTGCCACTCCTCATGACCCTCTTCCAACTGGCCTTTTCTCAAACAGCAACCACAGTGGTAGGCATGACTAAAAATGAAAGTAACTAAAATTAAAGAAAAAATCGGCTCCAAGCAACGGAAACTAACTCGATGTTTAATAACGTGTGGTACCCAGACGCGACAAACTACTACGTGGCACTCCAGGTCTGCTTCAACTCTGTCAGGAGGCCACCCTGCAGTCAGTCACCGGTACAAAGCAGAGACCAAGTAGCGAGAATATTCCAAAGCTGAGGTAAAGAGAAGTGGAAGAGGGTGACCTCATAATGTCTCTTTATGATCTAAGTTGTACTCCATAAATCTCACCCAAGTATCACAGTTAGGATTAAGTCAATCCTTTAAACAGGAAAGTAAAAATAAGCAGCTACCACTTTTCTGCTTTTGTTTGCTGTTGTTGGGGTTTGTCTATTTGTTTTTAAGCAGGTCTTATTGTGTAGCCTAGACTGGCCTCAAACTAGTGATCCTCCTGCCTCAGGCTCTAGAGTGCTGGGATTACAGGTGTGCAGACACCATACCCAGCTGCTAGCAACTACCACTTTCTGACTTAAATCTAGATGCTGGCTAAAGAGAAAAGGCAACTTTCACTTCTAAAATCCAAAAAATTTCGGTGTCTCCTCTCAGTATTTTAGAATTTTAATACTAAGCAGAAATTCAGTAAATGTCTTCAAAAGCAACAGGGTTTTGTTAATGACACATTTCAATTTTACTTCTTGTTAATTTATGTATTTGAGGTGTTAGGGAATGAACCCAGAACCTTTGAACTTAACTACATCACCAGCCCCCTTTTAGTTTTTTTGTATTGAGACAGGGTCTTGAAAAGTCATTAATGGGCCCAGGTTGGGCTTCAACATGCAATTTTCCTGCCTCAGCATCCCAGGGATGCGTCACCATGCACAGTTTACACTTGAACGTTAATCAGGTGGGGATTTTTGGTGGTGGTGGGGATATTGGGTTTTTCTGACACAGCGTCTCCCTATAAATTCTAGAATGGCCTCAAACTCCCAGCACTCTTCCTGCCTCAGCTTCCTCAGTCTTGGCATTACAGGCATGCACCACCACACTTAGCTAGCTAATCAAGTGTTTTCAAAGGTACTAGTATAAAATAAAGCTTAGTCTGGGTATGGTGGCAGACACCTGTAATCCCAGCACTTTCGCCTTGAGCTCAAGGTCAGCCCCAGTTACACAGTGAGTTCAAGAACAACCTGAACTACATGGTGAGACCCTGCCTCAGAAAATAAAGTTTTAGGGCCAGGGATTAGCTCAGTGACACCTGAGATCAATCCCCGGCACCAAAAAAGTTAAAATAAAATAAAAATTTAAATTTAACCACTTATCTACAAAAATATTCTTGGAAATGAGGCAGTTTAAAGCCTAAATTCACTGAGTTTGTTATGATGTTTTAGGCAAAGACTGAATTTGGTGTTATTTAACGAAGATTGGAAATAATAGGTCACAATTACTTCTGAAAAAGCAAGACCTGCGGGCACGGTGGTGCATGTCGGTAATCCCAACACTGGGGAGGATTATCACAAATTTGGGGCCAGCTTGGGTTGCACAGCAAGACCCTGTCTCAATCCCCCTCCGCCGCAAAGAAAAAGCAAAAAATCAAGACCTGACTGCAAATAACGTCCCTAAGGCCACCTGTTAAGCTAAAAGTCTATACAGTCCATCATTTTTTAATTGTAACCCCAGTATGGTTTTACACCTAGGATATAGAAGCATCAGATTAAAGACGTCAAATATCAGACTATAAAAATTCGCCAAAATAAGCATAGCAAAAGAAAAGGATAATACAAAGTTAAAGCAACAGGCTTTAAGGAGTTTAAATATACCCACAAATCCCAACCCAAGTTCGCACTATACTTCAGCCCGAAGCCGAGGCGAAAGCCATCTCGGAGACCGCGCCCAGCTGCCTACCGGCCGCCCTTCAGCCCCAATTTCCTCATCGACCCTCACCTCCGGCGGACTCCGGGCCTCTCCCTCCAGCACCTCCACAGTTTACTGCCTCACGGTTCGGCTTTAAGTTCCTTCTGACTCCTCATATTCACCCTGACCCCAAGCTTCGGTACCCGCTCTGCGGACCGGGACAGGGCGCCA